AACCTTTCCGCATTGCTCGATTTCATACTGCAAATCTTTGAATTGCTCGAGTGCCGCCCTCATCGGCGGACGCGTGTCGTCGTCGGGTCCCAGGACCTCCTCGGCCGCTCTGAAGGCCGTCAGCACCGACTGGGCGGCCATGGGCACAGCTTCGGAGCCAAACTGACCGAAGTAATCCGACGCCTTCCACCGAGACAGGTTCGATGGGGGCACAACCACGTCTACTTCCCGATCGCAGCTGCAACAAGGAGGCTTCCGTGCGAGCGAACAAATTACACGGCTTGCACCTCCACTCCCCTTTACAGGGGAAGTGGTACAGATCATGCTCGGACAAGACCGCTTTTCCCTGAAATCCAACGACCCGCGGAACACTGGCCAGGGATGGGGTCGAGTCGCTCCCTTCCGCCAGGGCAGCCGCCGACTGGACGAAACGGGCCAACACATCAAATATCCGTCTAATGAACGCTAGCTGACCCCTCTGGAACTCCTCCAGGGTTCGAGCCGCGGCCACTGAGTCGGCACCAGCACGAGCGAACAAATCCGCCCAACAGTTACCGATGAAGCGTTCATAGTCGAACTCAGGAGCCCCGCTCTGGACGAGATCAGGCCAATCGCGATGGGCGGGGGTCCAGACAAAACTGGGCCGCTTACATTCCGACCAATATAGATCAAATGTCTTCCTCCACGTGGATGCGCGCGGTGACGGGTCGAACGCTTGCTGGGGGGGGGGGGGGGGGGGGGGAACTGTTACCCTCCGCCACCGCACTCAAGTGGTCAGACACTACTGGGTCGTCAGACCGTCTGGCGGGCCGTGCCTACGAGCCTGATGGGCGGCATAGCGCTCGGCCCTGGGAACGGACTGCGCCCGCCCAGGGAGGGCCCCGTAGACCGCTCGAACGGGGGGGCCACTAGGGCCCAGCTCCACGGCGGCCCATCCACACCTACGTAACTCGGGGCCGTTGTTGGCCATCCCCGAGCCGTCTGTGAAGATGCGCCCCCCGAATGGCTCACGGGCACGGCCCCAGGAGCAAACGAGGCAGTCATCACGCACGGGGGGGATTGAAACCTCCACCAGGGAACCATGCGCGAGCTCAACCGTGTCCCAGTCGGCTTCACCAAGGCCGGTCTCCCCTTTCTCCCGAAAGGCCGCCCGCAGCTCCAAGACGTCATCAGGATAAAACGTTCCCTGGCTCCGCGGGTAGTCCAAGACCCCTTCGCAATCGCAAAGTTGGTGGCCCAGGGCCCCACGAGAGCCAGGGGAACAACAAATACATTCATCGTGACTCGAAAGGCTGGCTTGCATTCTTCTGGCAGGGGGCCACAGGGATCATCCAACAATGCACCTAGCAGCCCCCCGACGCCTACTATCAGACTGGCCGAAGACTCCGCGGCGCAGACCTCTCATCCACACAACCTCGGCGCCACTAGCTTCAGGCGCGTGTTGTAAGATTCGGGCCGCTTGCCATCTCGAGGCCCCTTGCCTCGGCAGCTCTCGGAATTCGTGGGGAGAGACTCGGGCGAGCGAGTGTGAGCTGCCGAGGTCATCTACAACGATATGCGCGGACGTCATTGACCATCCTATTCGGCGCATGGATAAATACACGGCAGAAATCAGGCCATTACACCTGCGCCACGTCATCCGAGCCTGCAGCTGGCCAAGCATGGCCGACCACGCACGCTGCAACAGGCCGAAAGAAATCCTAATATCCCAAATCGCCGACGCATACCGCATCAGCAGGGTGATTGCGGCCTCGCACGCTGGGTCAAAATATCGGTCCCTCTGAGTGGCCAACCACGAGGTGAGAGCGCCAGTCCTCTTCGCGCCCACTAAGTTCCCAGCCAGGGTTCGGAGGGGCATCACCGCGCCATCAGTCAGGCCACTCACCCCATCCCCGTAGGCCCCCGCTGGCAGAGGACCCGCCCTCCAGAGCGCGCCAACCTTAGAGGGGGCCCCTCTGCGCAGGGCTTGGAGCGTAGGCCGCCGGCTCAACAGTTTATTCAACCGAGACTGCTCCTGCGCCCTCAACGGTCGGCCGCTGGGCACTTCGTGTCGGAGGTTGCGCATGTGCTTCTCGCCGCGGAGCCCCATGGCACGAGCCAGAGGGGCGAACTTAGCAGCAGCGCGGGCCATCGAAGCAATGAGCTCGCTTTGTTTTTTTTCGAAGCCTGCAGGATTAGTTGTAGGCGACAAACTCCACGGCAAAACCAGGTCACGGCCCCCCCCCCAGGAGCGCCCCTGAGCCCCGAGGAGAATTTTTCAATCCATTGAAAACCACAACCGCCCATGAGGACACGGGGATTCACATCTCTAAATGGAATGCAGAGGCGGGCAGCAACGCGCTGGAGTAACAACTGCGTCAGCGTGTTAGCACGGCTGCAGCCCGCAAGTATCCTTAGGTAGCTGGTCAGTTTTTTGGGGAAGGACCCGAACGCCTGGACCGATTTGGGACGCCGATTAAGCGCCAGAAGCATCCAGATCATCCTCAGGGGATGCTACAAAGCACGGGCCTCGTCAAGCAGCGCGCATACAATGACGCACTCGTAGCACTTGAACATATCTACAAGCACTGGCATCGCATGCTTACC